ATTAATACGAAGTTTCGCGTCGACAGGAAGGGCGGGGCAATATCCGGAGAATTCCCAGAAAAATTTACTTTACGATATTAGAAGTTTCACCGTCAGTTTCATGGAAAGTTCATAACTCGGTATTGCGGCTGATCGCACGCTGTCCGTGCTAGGACCACTTCGAAAGGAGGATCAGCCAGAGGGATGATTCCGGGTGAACGTGATTCATTGTTAATCGAGACGGGGAATCCAATCTCGGTTTAACCCTTCGACTTCGAACGCAAGTTATACGCGATTTTTTTCACGCGTCGTCGAATCGAAGACGATTGGAGGGCCGAGCTCTCGATCGTGAAATGAGGAACTACTGTATAACTCAGCTGTCGTTACGTCATCGCCGCGCCAATCACTTTTATCGTTCAAACGAGCTCACCGGGGTAAGTGGTCTTTTCTTCCGGGGGGGCCATCGCGATCCGTTCGTTACCCGTAGGTCCGTAGCCCGCGGCCAGGACGGATAAAAATTCATAGCCAGTCTCATAGAGATGTTATCGTCACCTGCCTCGCACCCTTCGTCTCGGACGCGCGAAGGAAAACGAAGAATGCCATCCACTCCGACGCCGAGGAACGACAAGCCGACGTCAACGCCGTCGTCGACGATAACCGTCATCAGCCAGAGTACACCGCGGGTATTTTAAGGGCCCCACCTCGATGAAAACACCAGAGGCTTCCGGGATAGGGGGTACCACCCTTGGCTAGACTGCCACCCGTGCCTCTGTTCCGGTAAATAGAGCATCGGCTGGTTGGCTCGCCAAAAGGCGCAGGCACGGAACGATCTGCTCTTCTTAATTCGTTTCGATCGCGTCTCAACGTCGTTAGGAAATAATTATCTTAGCGGAAAATCAGTATTCGTACGAGAATTCTGAAGTTATTCTATTTCAAACATTCCTTTCATCCCCTTGGAAACATTTTATCATTTATACCGTGTGCAAAAGTGTGCCATTTAATTCCCTCTGTACCATTTTCTTGTTCGCGCTCGTAAGTCCTCGTAAACATTTATTCCGACCAGCTACAAAAATGTAGCACGTATTTTACATCCTGCTCGCAAGAAATTACGCTACTAAATCCGTTTCAGACGTTCTCTGTAAAATACTCTGCGTTATTAATGCGCGTGCTCATAACGCACGGCTGTTTGAAATATTTGATTCTATTGTACATATGCTGTGTTAGTGTTAGCCGAATGAGAATCGGATTTCTCGAAGATTCTTTTACGATCTATCGAAACTTTTAGTAGTCTGTATCTATCCAAAACACTCGCGTTATCCAAGGAACCTCGTTTCATTTCGTCAGAAATTTCGTTTGCCCAATTACTCGTACTCTCTATTCTCGATTACCCCGACCAGCGTCAGCCTGACCAAGATTTCCACGTCTCGCGTGAAATATGTATAGAATTCCTGTCTTCGTCTACCTTTTCCCCGCATATAAGTATTCACCTGGCTGAACATGATGCAAAGGTGACTCTTATACCTCCGTTGTCTCGAGCATAAAATCCTTCTCTCTGGTAGACCTTCCTATCCGCGCAATATAATACACTTCAACTCCGTTAAAGCAGCGAGAGGAAGGTAGAAAGTGGGCGCCAATCCGAGTCGAGTCTTTTTTCTGATTAAATGTACTTTGCGCTGCTCGTTGCATATGTAGAAACGTGCCTTCGCGTAGATGAAAGCTCCCGGCAGTGATTGAATTTGCATACGCGAGCATTCCGAAAGAACACTATGCCTCTTAACATTTTTCGTTACCGTATAAACAGTTCGCGCGAATGGTTCTGAAAATACATCTAATTTGGTCACTCCAGTTTGCGTTTATTTTCTTATGGAATAGAAATGTTATTGCTCGAATCGATTTCGTCCACCCATTAAATTACCAAGCGGAGTCGCGTGTCGGGATTAAAACGCGGGAACAGCGCGACACGCGAAAGTAACAATTCCCAGAAGGAACCGATTCAATCCCCTATCTCTCGAAATTAGTTGGACGAGCTCTCGGTCGGGAATTATTCCGTGCAAAAGACCCGCGTGTAATTTGCATCGGGGCGACGCGATTAAAATTCTTTGACCCAGTTGGACCTGGGGGATTGGGCGACGGGGACGCGGGCAAATAGAAAATTTCTTTCGTACCGCGGGGGATGGAGTTTCTTGCGACTCGAATCCGCACAGATTGTCTCCTTATCCGACCGTTGAAAGCCGTTCTCCGCGACTCGCAGGGACGACGTAGTTCTTGGATAATTCTGCTCGACACCGAATTCTCATTATCGACGATTTAACGCCGGGTTTACGGCCTCCTCGCTGTTCATTTGCCTATCCCCTCGCGATAAAATGCCGCGCCATATGCTCAAAGGGGGCGCAAAATACGAAGGGACTTTCCAAATCGCGTCGTTCTCGATGGTAAAATATTTATCATCCACAGTCTCTGCGAAAATTTTAAATTACAAATGTGTTGTATCTTAGGGGATGGACGCGATTCATTTTCCAAGATCCGTGCACGTTTCTATAAACTTTCCAAACAAGCGTTGCATTCAGAAGTTTGAAGACTATCGGAGGAACTCCGATTTCGAACAATATTCGCGAGCGATTCGGATCGCGGGATTGTTAAGTCGTTGGAAACTTTTCAACCCGGAGATTCGAACGCACATCACTAGTCACGTCGTTCCGCTGTTGTCCCGTGATACCGTTTCCCTCGATCAAAGGGGGAATTCAAAGGGCAGGAGATTGAAGTGTCCTACAAACGAAACGTCGGAGACTACCTTCCGCGCATACAGCCGCGAAGATGGCTTTGTTGTCAAACGTCTATGTAGTTTCGGAGCACCGGTGTGCCTTTCGAGAGTGTTTCAGGTTTCGTACGGGCGTGCAAGTTTTCGATTTACACGGAGGAATTTGTGGACCGGTTCTGGTAAATTGTGGTCAAAGGTGAAGCGCGCCGTTGACGTTCCCCTGACAGATTTAGCAGGACAGGTGTCGAGGACAGGGGCCAACTCGAATTGCGATTCGAATTATTTTCTGGTCAGAACATACGATAGCGAAATAAAGAATTTACTTTGATTAACTCCGAACTCTCGAACAGAGGTTGGACAAGTCAGGAGTAGCTTTGAAATTCTAAGCTACGCGCAAGTCCAACCCTCGAATTATTTCGAGCAGAATATAGTATTTTAAACGCGATTAACCTACTCGGTATAGAGTACGATAACTTGTTTCGAGCATTACACAACGTGGAGTTGTTAGCAACCCATCGAGAGCTTCTCCAAATACATTCGAGGTGTAGATGGATGCTGTTCGAGATTCGAATGAATATTGATTTTGAACCGGGTTTTCCGCCCACGCAGAAACTGATTGATACCGGCGAAAAAATTTCATTGGAGGACAGGAATGTATCTATTGACCGAGGGTTGAGATTTCATTGGATGGAAATTTTGTGGGTGGTCTGGCGCCGTAGGGACGGAGGTGGCACAGATTTATGTGTTGGAAACGCCTGAAGGGATGGTTAGGTTTTCGTTCCGTGCCGGATGTATTGTTCCGAGACTTCTAATAGACGAAAATATGAGAACCGTGACTCGCGTTTCGATGGCACGGTTTAAATAAAAAAACAAAAAAACTTCGTTTACCGTCGATAAAAACTATAACGGAAACAAATTGAAACTCCCACACACGCAATCTCGATCAGCAAACAATCGAGCATAGAAACTACGTTAATTCTTCCGACGTATTTGTGTTAATCAAATAATGAAATCGGAAACCAGATAATCGTCGAGTACTTCGTAAAGATGAAAATAGTTGCTGTAATTTTTAGGTTACAGTTTTACTTCGTAACTTTCCGCTTTCTATGAATTGTTTTTGCGTTCCAGTTACGGGAACTTGCGAAGTTCTAATCTCTAATTCTACTTGAAACTTCCAGGACGAATTAATTACACGACTAGTTGCTCCCTACGCAACGATCTTCAAGAGTTAGAATCTTTGTTAGGGATCATTGACGCCTCGATGTATTTCTGTTTTAGATGTTCCATCTATCCGTTTAAATTAAAAGTGAAACGAATTATAAACGAATCTAGAACGTATAAAATGAGAATCAAATATTTCTCTATGAGCTTTTATCTATTATTTTCACGCATCGAATACAGCACAAAAGTTACCTTTCCATTTTATAGAATATTCTGTATAAAAGAGAATTTGGGAGGCAAACGAGAAATGTTAAAACAAGAGAATATCTCGAGGATGGAATATTTTTTATTCAAACCGGGACGAATTTTTGCAGAATTGAAAAATATTACAGAATTCTTTTTGTTTTTGATAACAATGGGTTCAAAGGGATGAAATATTCCTTTAATGTCCGTCGAGCGAAATAGCCCTCCAACGATTAATCTCAAAACTATACGTCGAACCAAAAAATATTGCTACGAAAATTCAGTTTTCAAACGTGTAATTATTTTGGGAACGCGGAATTTCATTTAAAAATATTTTCCAAAAATTCTTTCATCCTCTTTCTGTTTTACCAAAATAAACGAATTCTTTTGAAGCCTTCCATTAATTTTCACTCCCAAAAAATGCAGTCAATTTGTTAAAACAAATACGAATAAAAAATTTACCTGCGTAAAATAGAGAAAAAACCGATCAAGATTTTAATATCACGAGACTTTGAAGACCGTCGACATTCGAATTCTCGCAGGCTTGAAAGTTTCGAACCTCTTTCGAGACCCAGATTCGAACGTCCATCGATGCTTACAACTGCATCGAAAGAGCAACACTGCATCGTTGCACGAACCGCGATCTAGACAACCCCGACACAAAGATCCAATCTTAATCTCATTCTCTAACCACTGAATGCGTTCTGTATCTTTCAATTCCAAACATACCCTCGTTTTATTTATCGCGTTCCACGAATATCTGACGAACAATTTCAACATTGGTGAGCAGGTTTCCGTTATCGCGTCCGATCGAACGTAGACGCGTATCCTATCGCGACAAAAGGAGTATCTTTCTTACCGAAAACGCTTTCAGGAAGACGAGGCACTGTATAATGCCTTCCATCGTGTCCCCTGTCAAGCAGAACGTGCCGGTCAGGTGACGACCCTTCCGACCGATCACGGAGCAAAGGTTGGCCTGAACGAACGCGTTCTGGGATCGCGTGGCGGCCGTCAGGGCTGGCTGGTGCGATCCTGCGCTCATCAAACGCTCCAAAGATTCCATTTCTCTCGAACCCAAGTGATCTCCGATGTGCTCTCTGGCGAGAAACAAGTTCCAAAGACTCGACCGACCGCGTCGAACGTAGAAATCTAGCAACGACCGATCGTAACACTCGCAGGGGTACGTGAAATTACGCGCGAGCAGTTCCTGCGCATTTCAATGTTCACTCGATGGACAAGTACCACCCGTGAGACACACGCCACGTGCGGGTTAGGCCCGCGACCTTTTCGCGGAAGTTTTCTTCGCCTCGCGCTCTCGTAGCTCGGACGCTACATTTTTTCTACGAATAACAGTTCGGTGAAAACTTCACTCGCGCGTGTTGGTCGACACGTGGAGGGCTTCTCGGAGCGCTTCAACTCCGCTTCAACGGCACTCGCGACAGCGACGCTTGAACGTTTCCAGCGTGCAGGTACGACCAGGTTCGCCCGGTGTTCCGCTCGACTTGGCTCGAGCGCGCATCTTAACGGCAAACAGAGCCTGACGTCTCGGTCGGCGGAGGGTTCGGGTGGCTGGAAAGTTCCGTACGCGGTCCGTTGGTCGATCGGAATCGCATCGATCGCGATAAGGTCAGCGTGGGTGATCCTATCGGCGCGTTCGCGTCGACTGCCTATCGATCCGGCGCTCCATCATGTCCGGTACATTTGTCAGGCCAGGGCGAATCTCGCCCGGTGCTTCGTCTCCGGAGATCCCCCGATCGGATCGGCGTTATCAAAGATCACCAGCGTCGACGTGACGGATACCCGGCGGTCTGTCGAGATCAGCTACCGTTTCGGCGATCGTGCACGGGCGATCTTACTGGGGGCAACAGGCTGGACGGGTCTGCATCTTGTGCGAGATCGAGAATACGCGCTGCGAGGTCGGCGCTGCGGCGGTTTCCAGAGACCGACGGGGCTCCGTGGTTGTTTGCGGCGCGGCGTAACGCCTGATCAGGTCGCACATCTCGTAGCAGAGGAAGCAGATGCCTATTATCAGGAACGTATCCATCGTATCGATTATCGTTTCCTCGTAGACGCGGGGTATGGCGAGCCTTGCTCCTCGCTGGCTCGTCTCGGAGCCTCGGGATATATCGACGGCCGTCGATCGCCGATGGAGGCGGACGTCGACGTGGCACCCCGGTGGTCTAGGTGCACCGGCGGCGCGTGTCCCCACGTCGCGCGGTCATTGCACGTACGTTCAGGTTGTACGACGACGGGCACTCGCGCGTTCAAAGGGTACTCGCTCGCGTGAACGGCCGAGAGGGAGCCACGGAAGGGCGGCGGGGCAAAACACCGACCATGTGCCCTGCAGGAGGCTCCTCGGAGACGCTGATCGGCCGCGACACCCGCGATTCTCGCGCGTATACTCCCCGGGTTTCCGGCGGCGCTCGATCACCGCGCTGTCTCGACTTCCGGCCGAAACTGGGTCAGCGCAGCCACGCAGTTGCTCTCCGCAAGATGCGACGCGACGCGAGCAAAGCGTGTGCAGAGTGGCGAGAGCGAAGCGAGCGAGAGAGGCGCGGTATATCGGCGGGCTCGCAACGGGCCAGCGTATGACTACCAGATACTCTCGGCGTGAGGGTGCGCCTTTACTAGGGTGGGCGGGTGGAAACGAGGGATGCTGGGCGACGGCGCGGCCCGCGGCGCCACCCCCGACCCCTCCGTGCTCGCTAAATCCACCGACACCCCTCCCTCCTCCCTTCTCTACCAGCACTCTATCCCGTTCTACTTTCCGCCCGCCGACCCCCCTCTGCCCCCCTCCTCCTCCACCGTCCTCGTTCACGCCGCTCTTCACCCTCTTTCTCGTTTACACCGCACACCTAACCGGCCTTATTCTTCCTACGACTCCGCGGATAGATGCTCCTCGATCTTTCCTCCCAAGATAACCTGTTGGGATTTTTTATTTCGGATCGTTCGATGGTCGCAGCTGGCTCCAATATGATCTATCCTCCGATCTTACCTTGCACATTTCGTGCTGCAAAAATTCTTCGATGCTTTTCTCTTCCCTTTTCTTCACCCAATCACTCGTAGAGTAACAGTATCTGTTGACTGTTTTCTTTAACACTTTGTCCGTACAAAAATTCCCACTGTGAAACTAGAAAAATTAATTCTCAAGTTGAGACGTCGATGGAAATAAATTTTCATCTAACAGTGAACGTGTTAAAAAAATAATCTCATCAATAAATCAACCCTAGAAGGCTCTGTCCTAGTCACTCGATAAATTCAGAACTTTAAACAAAAGTTCCCGTCTGGCTGGAACTTCCCGTTCAGCTTTGAAAAAGTAAAAGTTGCATTGGTTTGACCAAGCAAATTCCCCATTGAGCGGGGTCGGGAGATCAACTCAGTATTGCGAGTACCAGTAATAGGTTTGCCGACAGTCAACCACACAAGACATTATTTTAAGTTCGCCCGCAGGAAGCAACCAGAGAGTTCGCGTGCAAATTTTAGCGTTCCAATGAATATTAAGAGCGGAATATGTCACGGTAGAATAAAGTTTTTTTTACTCCCGCGTACCTTCGGAGATCTCATATACGTAATCCGGTGCTATCAAAATGTCCTGTTTATTCTAGCGTCCCTCGTCCCTCGTTCCGCGTTTCCGTGGTTAAATTTTGCCTCGTCGCGTTTGAATCGCCGGGGATGATTCCTGGGTAGGTTATTTTTGTTGCACCCCTCGTTCGTTTCCTCCCATTCTCCCTTGCGTGGCTTTTATCCTTCGCGATCGAACTCGTCGCGTGCGTTCCATTTGTCTATTGTCCGCCTTGCGTTTCGGTAATTATCTGGACCGTTTGTGAACTGTTTTCGAAGCAGAGGGGACGACGCGCCTTTTATTGTTCTCGATAGATCGCGCGAGAAAGGAAAGTGCTTCCAAAGGTCGTAGTTTCAATGAATATGTCAAAAAATAATTACAGTATTCAAAGATCTCTTGTAAAAAGGAACAGTAAATATTCTATTATTCATCCTGGCGGTGTAATTGTTTTTTTCTTCCATTTATTGCTGTAGAATATTTACACCATTTTACGTTATATCCGATTTCCACGGTATTTCTGAATTACCCGGAGCCCCGGAGCGGATATCGACGACTATAAGTCAGCGATAGTGTATTATTGACACGCACAACGAGCACGGAAGAGCTTTCGAAAGAATGGATCGTTGAAGATAAAATCGAAATAGATAATGACGCATGAACTGGAGTGGATCGCATCGAGTGGAAGCAGTTCGCGAAGCAATTCAGGAAAAATCATTTTCGTTCATGGAAATAAGTAGATTATTCGGAACACGACGTCCTTCTGGCGGTATAACTTTGTCTCTTGACACGATTCTTGGACATTTCCACGCGCGCCACATTTCGAGTTTTGAAAAATAAAATAAAGTTATTATAACGGGGAGTTAAGTGTAGGAGAAAAAACATTTTTCAGTCAACGCTCGGGGACCGTGAAGCACCGTCGTCCGTGTAACCCTCTTTCGCTCTTTGCAGCTAACTTTTCGACATATCAATTTCAGCGAGTGCCACGCGATATTACATTACCACCGGCGCCATTACGAAATAGAAAGTCTCGAGTATCTTGCCGCGAATTCCTCGCGTTATTTCCCGTTCCTTCGATCGCCCCGTCCACGCCGCCCAGTTTCCTCCCTTTGTACCCTTTGTCCTGCTCGGGCCACGCTTCATGGTTCTCCGGGATCCATCTGCTTTTCACGCTTACGCTTTGCCAACCGACTACAGGAACGTACTACTTTTTACCCCTTTTTCCCTTTATTCGCGCTCCCCTGTTTCGTGCTTTCCGTTTCTTAACCATTTTTCTACACCCGACCTCTGACCGCTTGGCACGCCAACAGAAAACGCTTTCCAGTTATCTGTCAAAAATCGACGCGACTTTGCTCGATGGTTCCTGGAATCTATTCATCCATTAATCCCCACTATTTTTCGCGATCAAAACGTTGCACGATCCACGAGGAGTATCATGTCAAGTGTTAAATGCAAGCGTGTCTGCCAGCAGCCGAAACTTAGAGTACATATGTGTCGTCCGAACCGCGCGAAGAACCACTTAACCGCTCTCGGTATTTGAGCAGACTTTAATCTGTTTGTTGTATCAAACAACAAGTAACAGGTGTCAACGAAGATCGGCCTAAACTGTCGCCATACCGTTTGGTCGCCGCAAAATTATATTTATTGCACTGCAAACGCGTTCTATTTTCCTCGACCACGCACGACGCTGAACGTTTCGAAATTCTCGTGCTGAACTGCCCGCGAAAGGTCGGACAGGCGATGGTTAATAAACTGTAAAGTAATAATCTGGTCGGGCGGTTCAACTTGAACGAACGTTGGAGGTTTAATACGAGAACGGTGTCCCAATATTTTCGCCCCGAAACCGCGGCTGTTTCATTCCCTCCCGTTTCGTTGTAACCGCGGACATTTCAAACTTCACGTGGGGGTGAAAAAAAATCCGCCCGTTTTCGATCGGGGAGCCCGATAGCGGCGGATTTCACCGGGAAAAGGACCGACTTCCCGTTTTCAGCTGCGGCCGCGTTTGTTTCAGGATCCAGCGGCGGGGAAAAAAGTTTCCATTTCGAGCCGGTTCCCGTCGATTATTTCAGGGAAAACGCGACTCCCTCGTTTTCCGTCGCAGGGCCCCCACGATTGTCCCGGAAATACGCGGAAAAAAGCGACGTCTGGCGCGGAACGGGCTGCGAATAAACGCGCCAAACGATAACTTGCAAATTCCATTAAACGACCTCCGCAGTTACTGCTGACGCGTACGAACCGAACCCAGGTCGCTCGGTAATACGTCGATTAACCTTTTATTCGTCGTTAATTTTCTTGAAACGATCGGCCGAGTGGTTCTCTCCGTTCTAAATTCGAGAACGCGTCGTTCATTTCGCAACGCGAAACCCTACTTTTAACTCTTCGGAGCGAGGCGAGCGCGGCGGGCTGGTTTTCGATGTAATTTCCGGTAAAATGGCCGATCTCGATCGACCGTGGTCCGCGTACGCGCTACCAACCTGTCGAAACTCGATCCGCAAAGGAATAAATCGCAGTCGCGTTTCCACCGCGAAGGTTAACGTCCAACCGTTTCGGTCCAAGCTTTCGGGCCACGGCTTTGAACAAGTTTTCGGGGGGAGAGAGGGGGCGGTTTTATACGCAACTTTGGCCCGCCAAATGCGACACAAAGCCGCGACGGTCATGAATATGGAGAAAGTGACGGTTGGTTTTAAGTGGTACATGGTTCGGCGGATTCGAGTCGCAGCCATGGACGAGTTTACGGCGCATTGTCACGATGAAGTTTCGACCAGTGCAGCAACGCGTACCCAGGCCATCTCGTAGAAATCGTTAACTGCCGGAGGGTGTTAATATTGCGTTTACATCTGTCGAATGTAAATTGTATTCCTCCCCGGTGATTTTCAAATGTCAAAATACCAAAAACGAACCGAGCTCGTAATTTTAACGTTGTGGTTTCCAAGTGAATCCCACTTTGGGGAGATATTCTTTAGAAATTACCTATAAACAGCCAGTTGATTCGCGCGAGTTTAACACGTTCACTGCCAAATCAAAAATTTTGATTTTAGGTCATTGTAGGCTACATAATCTAAAATTTGTTTCAGTACTTACTTTCGTGATCTAGTTAAAATTCACAAATTCTATTCAAATTTATTTCCCTCGACGTCTTAACTTAAGAATGAATTTTTCTAGTGTCATAATGGTAAATCCTGTCACCCATATATGGGTGACATGGCAGTCAAAGTGTTAATTACGCTTTAATGAACTCGTTAGTCCGGAAGAAAAGTTCAGCTAGAGGGCTATGTATTTATAAACTTTTTTCTGTCAGATAGAACGTAGAATTTCAAGCGTATTAAATTTTCTCAAGAGTATCGGCAACGGAACGTCGCATAGTCACATACAAGGATTCCGTCTTCGAATCACGGTAAGCTAGCGTAATTATAGGTAGGCTGCGAGCAGTGCTTCCTGGTAAGCCGATAATTGGTGCCTGTTCGACACAGATAAGGTCGCCAGCCCATCGACCGACCCATAGAACCTACGAATTTCCACTTAATTGCTTCGTATTTCCAACAATATGATTATTTGTAACTGTTTAGCGACGATATATCGACGATAGACAAAGAATGATTTTTCTTGCGCTATAATTTCGCGAGGATCCTCCAATCTTCGTAACGCAGGACCACAGGAATCATAGAATTTATTTCCATATCCCATCGAGTCGCTTTCGCGATCGGAATGCAATCAAAGAATACCATGGAATATCTAAAATGTCTGAATATCTAATGCGACCATGATTTTTGCGATTCCTCTGCTTTTCCACCCCCAACCGTAACAGTTTCATCTCGTCCCTCGCGATCGAAATGAACGATCCGGGGGATCGGAGGAACGGCGACTTCCGATTAAGAGCAATATTATAACGCGTGCGGGTCGCTGATATCGAGGAGCGTATTTTAATCGAACCTCGAGGAACGATAACTGCTAAATAACACGATGAGGGATTGGCAAACTGGAAACGAGTCAATCGAGTGAAAAATTCTCCCTGGCACGCTGGACGAGCTTCTTTGTCAGAAATGCACCCTTCTACTTGG